ATACAGATAGCTTGAGGGAGTATAAAAAGTAAGCCAAAAACAACAAAATTAACTCATAACTATAAAAAAAAATTAACACCCAAGGATATGGTCAATCTTAAGCTGTGAAGTTCCGAAAAAAGAAAGAATTGGTTTAGTGAAACTTACAATTATCAATACAAATCAGGCGAGTTAACAATTACTCTCTATATGCTAGCCAACTCAACAAGAGAAGAACTAAATCCAGCTCGAGGTACTAGAAATGTTTAGTTTGCTATCTCACCATCATTTAGGTTCAAACTCCAATTCTTTCATGGAAGATTTAAGGACTAAGCCAAATGATAATCGAAATATGAAAAAGGAAGAGAGTCCCAACGTGTAGTGGACAACTTCAAGAGGTATAAGAAGAACGGACATCTATGGTAGCCTCATATCATATTGGCTATAACCAATGCACACAAAGTGATATATAAGACCAAAGTACATCTGCTAATGTACAGCACTGCATCACTACAACGTGCCAAACCATTAATATGACATGTGAGATTATTCCTAAGGACACGTACAACATTGGCTTATCTATGTGCTTAAAATCATCTTAGCTGTTGCAGGGCCTGATTTCTATAGAGTTAATCATTGTGCCACCCAGTGGTTATTACTGTAAGAAATGCAGCCTATAGGTGCAAATTAAGTGAATACTAATATATCTAACTTCAGTATTTTTTCAAGTAAAATTAGGAATGACTACATACTCCACCATCCAGAGACTGATACACGGATACAAGATTAAGGGAATATGAGCATGATAAGAGTACAAATAGGGTAAATACTGAGAGGTTTGAGTACGAACATGGACATAAGTATGAATAAGCCAAGAGTAAGCTTCATTTTTTATGCAGAAACATAAGTAAATACAATAGAAAATATATTATAAATGGAATAGACACACATATTATAAATATAATAGAAATATTTCTCATATATTATAGTTCAATATCCAATTTTCTCAGTTGGATATTCTTGAATTTTAATGAGCTCCACCATCCACCACAAACCAAATCCTTCTTCTTGACTTACAAGACCTAGCCGCTGCATGGTGCCAGTGCAACTGTACCCTTCGTTAGAATTGGACTATATGGTAATTGTATCAATTAAAGATAATCAAAAGTTGTTAGTTTAACAACAGACATGACTCTTAAACAGACTAATACAGAAAAAAGTTCATGTATCACACTGCAGTGGCTTAGCATGAAGACACCACCGTGATTGCTACTGCTGCTGCTTCTGTTTGCTTTTTTCCCCTTTTGTTGCTGTTTTACCTGATGTTATCCTCATAAAGATAATTATTTCTAAACGTCATGGTAGCTAAAACAACTGATCTCAGTAATCCTACTAGTTGTGACCATCTAGTACAATAACATTCTAACTTGATTATCAAAACGTTATGTAAGTTGTTCATTCTAGTTCAAAATTTTAGAACAACTAATCTCAGCAATCCTACTAGATGTGATCATCTAGCAGAAAAAAACATTTTAACTTGATTACCAAAATGTTAATGTAAGTTGTTCATTCTAGTTCAAATATTTAGAACTATTATAACGTTTTACATAACTGTTAGAAAGGTCAATTCTCACTGTCAATGAATATTTTATTATTGAATATCAACTAAAGTACACTATCTGAGGTTGCATTTGGATGCAAGGAATTGATTTGAAATTGTGGAATTCAATTCTAGAATTTGAAATTTTGAATTCAATTTCAATTCCATTTCTAAAAATCATTAGAATTTTAATTCTATAATTCTCAATTCTAAATTTATGCTTGGAAATGTTAGAATTTCAATTCTAGCATTTGGAAACTATTGGAATTTCGTTTCTAAATTAAAGTTGCCGATCGAAGACAATTTAGAAACAAGAGTATTTGTAATCAATTTATATAAGTTATGCATCAATATTCACTAAATATTGCAACACTAATTAAGTACATAAGTTTATAGGAAAATCATGATATATACAACGATTTCTTAGCTTGTGGATTTAGGTTGAGTACATTTCAAAATTCTAAAAAGTAACAGAAAACCATAAGACGATCCATGTCCATGGTACATTACAGAGAAGAAAAACTCCTAGATCAGTACAATAATTTAAATCTGTCTTTATTTTATATTGAACATTCATCAAGCAAGCGATAGTTTCTCCAATGATGATTTTGAAGAAGAAAACAAAGTATTAAACAAAATATATCAGAGCTATATGGATAGTTATGAAAGATCAAATGTGATGAAGATTGCACGAATCTTAACATGCAAGCTTGCAGTGTCCTTGAAAACGTGCTACTAACAAAAGCCTCAAACCTCCGCTACACAATTCCATTTTTGCAATTTAAACCCCCAACAAAATGCAAACCTTACAAAACTCTCCCCTCCTAAACCGTAGGGCTTCCTATCTCCGCTGGCAAAGGCAATGGCAGTGTTCATCATGCAGGCTCCGATGAGGTGGAGGGAGGCGGCGGTGACGCTGGCAGAGATGATGAGGTTTGTGTACTCAGAGACGCTGAGAAACATCAGCAATTGATGAGGGAGGGAGCAGGAATCTTGGACTTAAAGTTAGGGTTTCAAGCAGAATTGGAGATATAAGAAGAACAGAAGCCATCACGAGTGGAGATAGTGTGACCGCAGATAAGATAGTGGGAAGGACTGCAGATCCCGGGGAGGTAAATGGGAATTCGAAATGACACGCTACTGGTTGTCATTTACAATTCCAGGTTCATTATAGGATTACGATTCCAGGTTCATTATAGGATTACGATTCCAGGTTCATTATAGGATTACGATTCCAGGTTCATTATAGGATTACGATTCCAGGTTCATTATAGGATTACGATTCCAGGTTCATTATAGGATTACGATTCCAGGTTCATTATAGGATTACGATTCCAGGTTCATTATAGGATTAAAGCCCGAGTGCAATTGGACGAAATCCAGAAATTCAAATGCTTTTGTATCCAAACACTGGTTTTGGCCCAATTCCAGCATTTTCAATATCAGTATCCAACAGACCAATAATTGTATCTGAAATATGAAACAAAATTGGATCTGTATTCAAAACCATTAAAAGCAACGTCAGATATTCCACTTCAGATTAGAAATGTGAGATGAAAATAATCATTGTCTGGTTGTGTATCATTTCATGCCTCAAAAATTACTGCAAAAGAACATCATCATCCCCCCTCATTTGCTCCTTTCTTTTAGAGTCCTTACTTGAGGAACATTTGAGTTTCGTTTCCCAGGTGTAGGAACTTAAACTGCACAACTATTTCCTCCTATCATAGTATGACAATTGCCCATCCAAAATTTATTCCAAGTGAGGTAAGCAACTCTCTTGCAAGTTTTTGTTGACCATTAATGTGCCACAAACTCCGAGGGTTAATGTCAGCTTGGCATCCCATCAAAGTTTTGTCAATTTTTTGTGAAGCCTTACAGTATATATAGTATACTGTCTAAATCCAGGTCAACAGGAGAAAAGTAATGATAAATTGATAATAATGATGATGACAATGGCAAAGAACTAAATGGTCAGTTAGCACACATAAAGGTCAGCTGCATTTACAGTCCTTGCATGCTTTAGACAGTACAAGGAACTAATGGCCAGTTTCCCAGGAAGCAGTGTACCTAACCTCAAATAATGCATGAATGACATCTAAAAAATAAATAAACCTATAACAACATGTCAACAATGATAACAATGCTTTTATTCCAAGTACTTGGAGGCAGCACCGACAAACCCCTAAATGCATGATAAATAGCATGTTCACTAATAAATGAAGTTCTGTGCATAATGTGAATATGACATGTATCATTTAAAAAGAAACCAAAAATAACAGAAAGCCTAGATGATGAACTCCATTATCACAAAGAGCAGATTGAATGGCTTATGATGCTGAGCACAAGTTTAAAAAGATCAACTTTTTCAAGAAATATAAATCAATATTTATTTTCTTAAAGACGAAAGGCCCCAGGAGCTCTTTGTGTGCTTCATTCACATTTCCATTGGCCAGCAAGGACCACGTACCATGCATTTATAATACATGCGTAGTCTGGAAAATGCAAACAATAATGACTAGAATCTAGAGGGAAACAGAGGGAATAAAAAAGTGAGAACAGGTCAGTATTGAGCCTCCACCAACAAGTCCTAAGGACCAAAAACATTTACCAACACGTCAAATTATGTAAATAATCCTCATGTGCATAAGATAAACTAAAAAAACCAGATTTCTTTTCTGAATTCTTACGAACTTACAAGTTTGAGGATTACCAAAATTACATACACACTTTGCAGTCAAGGATATACCTGATGCAAACATGTCTAGCTATA